GTCCTCACAACCCCTCTGGGAGAATATTATTTTTCTATACCTTTAAAGGTGAAGAAATTAACATTCAGGAAGATTAATAATAATACCTAGTAAATAGTGTTTATTCGACACATATTTTTGAGCTCCTGGAAGATTGGGCATATAGATGCCTTTTGAGTATGTGAATAAAAAGTAGGTGGCAGATTTGAAATTCAAATTTAGTTATGCCAATTCCAGCAGTGGTTCTCAAATGCATTGGCTTTCCTCATTAATATTGAAATGGCTGTCCTTGCAGATCCTCATTTTGATTTCAATTTTTTTTATTCCTGTCATAATTCTCCTTTTTCCTACTTTATTCACTCGCTCCTTCCTTCTTGTATATAGGATAGCATCAAAACAGTAACCAAATTACTCCATATTGTTGGTGCTGAAATTATGCTCTTCACTTGAAAAAGTGAAGCCTGCTAAATGTGTGCCTGCTAAATGTTATTCTAAACTCATTTTTATCCCATCTTTTTCTTTAGTCTCTTCTTGTTGTTTCTTTGTTAAACTTGCTTTCTTTTCCCTACAATCTCAGAATAATGACTGGGATTGCTTGTGTCTAGAAACCGTCTCATTCTTTTTTAGACCAGCTAGCTATCTATGGAACTGGAGCTTCTAAAACAGTTGAGATTAAATGAAGTGTTAATGTTTTAAAATATGTTTGTAGAAGATGAGTTTAAGTGGGTGCTTAAATATTGAAATGAAACAGGAGCCTTCGATAGGTATTAAAAAATATATATATATTTTTAACGTCTATTCCCATTACAAGAGAAACCCTATTCTGCAAAAACAACAAACTGTCACACAAAAGAAATGCAGCTCCCTGCTCTCTTCTTTTGCTAGAAGCTGGAAGCAGCTGTTGTTATTTTCACTGCCATTCTTACTGATAAAAATGAGGAAGGAGAATAGCTTTGGAAAGGATGAACACTTGTGAATTTCCAACAGCCACATAACTAAAAGGAAAAGGCATATATGTTTTTGCTGGGTGTTCACTTATTTTGGTTTCTTTATCACATTGTTCTCTCTCCATTCAGCAATAAAACTGAGTACCCACTCAGGGCTGGGCACCATCTTAGATGCTAGAGAAAAGAAGACTCCCCATGATGACACTGTCCAATTTCACTTTGCTGAGTGCGCTCAATGTTTTTTATCTCATTTATCTTTTAGCAGACCTAAGAAGTAGGAATACCCCATTTTATGTAAAGGGATCTGATCCTTAGGATGATCTGGTTTAAAATTGGTGAAATGGGTAGATGAAAGCAAATTCTGCGTCTCTAAAGTCCATGGGCATAATTCACAGGGCACAGGCCACTTCCCCAGGCTTCTGTGCTGATTGTCCCTGAGGATTACACATAAGTAAACCAGCTCTCACAGTGCTAGGTCATTAGCCATTTGGCAGAGGGATGCACCCAGGCCTGTGGTGGCAGAAACAAGTGCACAAAACTCTCTGAAACAGAGGGGAAATGTCAGAGGGGAGATAATATTTTAAAGAGTCTTAATAGTTCCATGAGTTGACTCTTGACCAA